CAAAAAGGTGATGAGTGTCGATGTTATGTTCGTGGGCTTTTTCCAGGATTTGTCGCAGTGTGAATATCTGATCAATGGTGGAGCGACCAGGTCGAAAGCCGCACTGATAAGGTCCAATCAGTGAGTTGGCATGTGGCTTCAACCTTTCACACAGTACAGTTGAAAGAACCTTGTACGCGACAGGTATCAGGCTAATCCCGCGATAGTTGGCGCAAATCGTCGGGTCACCTTTTTTCAAGACAGGACAAAGGCTACTGAGATTCCAATCGCTGGGCATACTTTCATCTAACCATATTCTGCAGATAAGCTGATGCATGCACCCTATCAGCATATCGCCGCCGGCCTTGAACAATTCAGCAGGCAGGCCATCTGGGCCTGCCGCTTTGTTGTTCTTAAGTCGCTGTATAGCAACACGCACTTCGTTATGGCTAGGTGGTGGAATTTCAACGTCATCATTTTCGATTGGAGATACAGAGGGCATTTCTTCAATGGCAGAGTTGATGTTATCATCGCCAGATAGTAGTTTGGAGAAATGCTCCTTCCATACTTTCAGTACATTCTGCATATCTGTAACCAGATTACCATTTTCGTCCTTACAGGTTGATGCAACAGGCTTAAAGCCTTGAGTCAGACGGTTGACTTTTTGATAAAATTTACGGGCATCATTCCTATTTCTACACACCTCGATTTCCTCTCGCTCGCGCCTTTCTTGATTAAATAATAAATTAAATAATAAATTAAATTATGTAACGACACTTTGGGTGACGTTCAAAAATTTTTAGTTTTTGCTGGGTATCCTCAGCCGTCGTCCAGAGTCGAGACAATTTATTTATAGTTTCGCTGAGACGTTGTTTTAGAAGAAAGAACGTTATTTATATATATATATAAATTATATATTTTTATTTATTTCATAAAAAAAAACTTATTATTAACAAAGTATAATTTTATTTCGTGTGTGTTTTTTTTTCTCTTTAATTTATATTTTATTATTAAAAATAAAGTGTATTAATAATTCAAAACAAGGTATGAAATGTACATATATATTTTGTGAATTTAATATTATTCAAATCTAAATGTGAAAAGAAAAGAAATAAATTAGAAATAATACAAAAAAACTAGTGTTGATGTGCTTAGTTGCTGCCGAAGTTTGTTTTGTTTACGTGTATAAAAATAAAATCGTACAAGCATGAGTGTTAAATTATTTTGTGTATTATTTTATTTATATATATTTTAAATAGAATTTTTTTTAATAATTAAACGTGTTTTCGGTAATAATTGTTCAGTGTTGTTGTGTTTAGAATTTCTTAACACGTTTTTGTTTTCATTCATAAAATTTGTTACAAACAAATTAAATTTTTTTTCGTATATTTTTAGATTCTGCACATGTATCGATGCCCGCGGCACGTTGGAATCGAGGATCGCAGGTAATGTCCATGATATTTTAAATAAACATTTTAATTCAATTTCATATTTTTTTAGATAACTCCGCTTCAATTTTCTTCATGTGAGTTATTTTCTCTATATGGTGTGTAGCGGTGGTAGTTAGTTTACGAACAGACTTTATTTTTTTCTTCTTCTAGCTAATATGTAGCACAAAAATTTATTGTAAAAATTTATGTCGTTACATTTCCCTCCTTCTTCAGAGAGTGAAAAGAATACTAACTCTCATGTATTTTATTTCATTAAGGATTTAATAATGTGCGTAATTTCTGCTATATTATTCGTTTCCATGATATTGTTTAATTTCGTTGACGTGTACTGTTTTCCTGGTTATATTCCATATGATACATGATATTACCTGTGTGATTAATATTCCTCTCAGAATGAGGCTCGATTTCTCTTTCTAATCTTTGGATTCTTGAAAATTTTGTAGTAATCATCTTGGTTTTTGACATGATGATGGTCATCCTTTCGTTTTAATGTGCCTAGACGTCTTACGAGAATTTCTGGTTTGTTTCCTTTTGTGCTTGGTTGAATGTCGTTCCATTCCTCTTGTGGTGACCATGGTTCTTGTAGACTGTCGCGCTTGACTTTATCCTTTGCTTGAGTTTCTTGGCTTGGTAGTTCCGTATTAAGTTTACTATCTAGAACATTGATATCTAATGGATCCAATGACTTTGTAGGTGGTACATGACGATTGTTCGATACTGGCTGTACTGTAGTAGAATTCCTCTGTGGCGATGTAGTTGATGACGAAGATGATGGTGGACCAGACTGGTGATTATCTCTTGGTGGTGCTTCTCGTGGTGCTTGTTGGTGATTAACAGGAGATGGCGGTTGCGGCTCAAACTCCTTTGATTGTAACGATGATTTGAAATTACTTTGCGAATGACTCTGTGGCGTTTGCGACGACGATTTGAAATTACTTTGCGAATGACACTGTGGCGTTTGTGACGATGATTTAAAATTACTTTGCGAATGACTCTGTGGCGTTTGCGACGATGATTTGAAATTACTTTTCGAATGACACTGTGGCGTTTGTGACGACGATTTGAAATTACTTTGCGAATGACACTGTGGCGTTTGTGACGATGATTCTGAACTTGTAGAAGTTGGTAACCATGGATGATTGACATGTGATGACTCTGGTACTATCGTTAAACGTTGTGGCAGTGCTGGACGTGATGATAAATCATGCTCTTCGATTCGATGCTTTTGTTCTCGTGGTTGTGTATTTTGATTGCGGTTGGCTGGCGACTGTTGTGCATAGGCTTGTTGATAACATACTTTAGGACTTTCTTGATGATGCGTTGAAATCTGTGGAGGAGTTACGATGCATTTATGTAATGCCTGTTTTTGTGGTTTTCCCTGTAGTGGTACTGAGTGTGGTTCTGAGTCACTTCGATGTTGCATGCTTAGCGTGGGTAGTGTGCTTGTTATTGGACTACTAACTGTTATTGCTCGCTTTGCGATTGGTGGAATCGGTTGCTGGTCACTTCTTTGCTGGATATGATTATTCGATTCAATGCTTTGATTATGGACTATTCTTTCTTGCATCAGTTTTGGGTGACTGGATTCTAATTTGACGGGTAAGATGATCGGGTGGTTGTCGCCCCGCCTGGCATGACAACCCCCAAGGAGTTTTCCGATGGGTTCTGACGGTTTCCATAAATTGGGTTTTTCCTACAGCATTCGATCGTTCGACGGCCCAGAATGCCACAAGTCCAACAAAAAAGCACTTTAGGTTTCTTGAGTGTGTTGTCGCTCTGTTTTGCTTAGTTGAATAAGTCACTCGAATTCTCCTGCTAATTTGATCAACTCTCCCAAGGAGCTAAATTCACGTGGTTTGATGTTTAGTTGGTATTCCGCCCTACTGTTTCGATAGATTCGGCTTAATTGTTGCCCCCTTGTAAACTCGGCATGCCGCATCAACTCCTGTAGTGCTAAGACATAGTCTTGAAATGATCATTCTTCTTTTGGTATCTGTTCCGAATCGTATCTTCTAGTTGTTCTAAATAGTTAGAGGGCAAGAAAAATTCTCGAACATCCTGGGCAAAACTTGACCAATGTGTCCACTTCCGATTGTTATTTCGGAACCACATTAAAGCTCTCCCTTCGAAAATTTCTAGCATCATCCTGGGCAGGATGTCTTTGGAAATGTTATGGTTGTCGGCGAGGCCTTCCAGTCTCTCCAGAAATGGTAGTGGGTTCGTTTCGCCATTGAAATGCACAGCCCATTTGCGAACTTGATTCGCGATTCTCGCTATGTCCTCAAACTTGTCATTCATCGTTTTGGGCTCTGAGATGTGTATTTTCGGTGCTTCGGTTTCGAAACCTGGAAGTTTGGGTGAGAGACTACGATCATATTTAGCTTCTATTTCCCCAATTATGTCTAGTAATTTTGATGGGTTTTCTTCCGTTGTTAGATGATCACGTACCCGCTTCCGTAGCTCCTCAACGGTTCCTGATGTACTGACCTTGATTTCTTCTAGAATTAAAATCAGATCCTCTTTGCGCGCTATAGAAATCCATGCCGTCTTGACCATGTTACTAGTTTAGTTATTTAAGCGACTTTGTGTGTAGTCTAATGATTTTTCCTGAAACGCTTGTACACTGTTCTTTATGTTCCAAGTGCGTTCTTTTTTTTTTCTTCTAAAACTCTGTCCCTGCTCGGGCGCCAATTGTAACGACACTTTGGGTGACGTTCAAAAATTTTTAGTTTTTGCTGGGTATCCTCAGCCGTCGTCCAGAGTCGAGACAATTTATTTATAGTTTCGCTGAGACGTTGTTTTAGAAGAAAGAACGTTATTTATATATATATAAATAATATATTTTTATTTATTTCATAAAAAAAAACTTATTATTAACAAAGTATAATTAAACAAATTCAGCATATAATAAGTTATTATTCACTTAAAGCAAACTTTTTTTTTTTTTTCTAAATAAAAAAAAATATGTATGGATCGCCGTTGACGACAGAAATTATTATTCCCCAGTGTGTTACTCGTTAAAAGATTTCTGGCAGGACAGTGTGACGTTCTAGGTCCTCTCCTCTGTTGTTATAAAAAAAACAATGAATACCTTGTACTGTAAAAGAAATCATTTGGCCGAATGAGCCAGGTTAAAAAATAATATACATAAGACTACGTTTGGCTGAAGGAGCCAGGTTTTTGGCAAAATGTGCCAGGTGACCAATAGGCCAGTGTACTTGTCTTGGATAAGTAAAATTTCAAGTCTTTGGTAAAATTTACCAGAAGGCTCAATGAGCCAGAGTACTTGTTCCATTACTTGTCAAAAACCAAGTCCCCTATTACATGAAATGTTCCTCCTTTTATATCGAGCATACCGGAGCTTTTTGGTGTAGCGCACCGGTATTACTTGCTGTAGTTCACTTCGCCGTGAAGTTGAACTTTTTGTGTTCTACTGTGTACTGCTTGTGTCTTTTCGTGTTTGCTTGTTTTCCTCTTCTTTTACTTCGCCGCGACTTTGAGTATTTACTACGCGTAGTGTTTTTTTATTTCGTGTGTGTTTTTTTCTCTCTCTAATTTATATTTTATTATTAAAAATAAAGTGTATTAATAATTCAAAACAAGGTATGAAATATACATATATATTTTGTGAATTTAATATTATTCAAATCTAAATATGAAAAGAAAAGAAATAAATTAGAAATAATACAAAAAAACTAGTGTTGATGTGCTTAGTTGCTGCCGGAGTTTGTTTTGTTTACGTGTATAAAAATAAAATCGTACAAGCATGAGTGTTAAATTATTTTGTGTATTATTTTATTTATATATATTTTAAATAGATATTTATTTAATAATTAAACGTGTTTTCGGTAATAATTGTTCAGTGTTGTTGTGTTTAGAATTTCTTTACAAGTTTTTTTTTTTTTGTTTTCATTCATAAAATTTGTAACAAACAAATTAAATTTTTTTCGTATATTTTTAGATTCTGCACATGTATCGATGCCCGCGGCACGTTGGAATCGGGGATCGCAGGTAATGTCCATGATATTTTAGATAAACATTTTAATTCAATTTCATATTTTTTTAGATAACTCCGCTTCAATTTTCTTCATGTGAGTTATTTTCTCTATATGGTGTGTAGCGGTGGTAGTTAGTTTACGAACAGACTTTATTTTTTTCTTCTTCTAGATAATATGTAGCACAAAAATTTATTGTAAAAATTTATGTCGTTACAATTTTTATTAAATCAAGTAAAATTAAGTGGGTATTTCGTTTGTATGCTCTAGATTCTTTGATAGTAGTATATTTTGCTCTAATAATATAAGGAATAAATGCTTTTGGCAAAAACATAATTTCAAATGTAGAAATCGGAAAATACAAACGATGAAATATTTAAAATGTTTTTCTTTTAAATTTTCCTACAATAATGATGAATAAAGATAAATTTATATTTAAGTTCTATGCACATTTCTAATATAACAGTTTTGCTAAAGTATTTTACTATTTATGTTAAAATATTAGTAAGTGTGCATTTTATGTTCACATTGAGATATATTATAATAATTAAAAAAATTTTTTTTCATCTTTTAACTATTTATTGCAGTATTTACAAAATTGTAGTAATTTTGTTTTACAATTTAGCTTTTGCTGAAGACTTTTAAATTAGTTCTAAAAAACCTTAAAGGAAACTGATTATGCTTTTATTTTTAGCTCGGTTTATAACAACTGTAAATATTTGTAAACTATCTGAAATTCCTTCATATAAGACGCTATATGATCATGATCATATCATGAACACTAATAAATTTATATGCTTATAATATTATTTAAAATCTGAAGAGAATATTCATATATTCTGCACATAAACAATACAAAAAAAAATATTTTTTAATTTTTATATTATATAAAATATTTATAATATTCATTAAACAGATAAATTAAAAATGTACAGAATATATCTTGTTTAAATCTTGCTCTAATTCTGGTAAGTAATTGAGCCTATTTTATTTCATAACAATAAAAACTTATATGAACAACTTATACTTCTTTTAGATAAACTAAACTAATTTTTTTAAATACTTCAATATTTATTTATTAATATATTTCATAATCATAATGAAAAATCAAAATTTTTCAGTATTAATTTTTCAATACTCTTTTTTATTAAATTTTATATGAAATTATTAATACTTAAAAACCTAATATAAATCTAACAACGAATGCGCATGTACCCAATCTCATCAATAGATTTTTCGCTACTGATCATAAAGAAATGTATGTAAACTAATAATAGACATCATTCACCACATACATTTGGAGCGTAAATCCTCCCATATTAACAGATTTTTCAGCCGAAATTCGAAAAATTTGCCTATACAGAGCAATACAATTCATCATTCGCTACTCGAGTATTGCCGTATCAAAAAGTAAATTGGTAGTAGCTTCGGTCTTTGTTATTAATTACTCATCATAACAGCATTTAATGATATTATTTCAAAATTAGTTTAGAAACAATGTTTTACAAGCTCAAAAAGTATTAAAGAAAATATAACTCAGTAAATAAGAAATATTCAAAACTGGTTTTTATATTTTATAAAAAAAATTCTCTTTTACTAAAGTTTTATCACCGAACATTTTACGTTATTAAAAGGTAAACATATGATAAGTAAGTAGTAAGAAATTATTATAGTGCAACCCCAAAAGAAAGTAATTTCATGTTATCATGGTATGATTACTGTCAAAGAAGATTTTACATAGAACGGAAACTTAAAGTGGGGTGCAGACTATCATACTGGTATGTCATACGAGAGAGAAAAACGTCGTATGACACACAGGTATGATAGTCTGCCACCTTTACAACTTTTTTGGCGTGCTCACCAACTTTTTGGTGGAACAGGCTCTCGCATACGCGTTGGTCTGATAGTCTGTGTCACCCCAAAGTGGGGTGCAGACTATCATACTGGTGTGTCATACGAGTTGCGCTCTCTCTTGCTCAAATTTCTTCTAGCGACCGAATTTGAACAGGTATGACACACAAGATTAGGCAAAATTTTTGAAGAGTGCTTTTGCGGGTAGTGTTGTGAAAATTTGTGTGTTTAAAATAAAATTTTAAAATTGAAAAAATTGATAGTTAACGTATAGGTTGTGCTTTGCTTATAATTGATTATAATTTTGTATATTTTATATATGCCGCGTTTTTTTTTGCGATCTTTATATTCACAGCTTTGGACATCCCACAAACAGCGATTACTTTTATTAACATTCGATGAAAGCATCTAAAAATGCTTTATCTGCATCCATATTCATATTTTTTTTAGGTTTATTGGTCATTAAGCACAGTAGTTAAAATGAAAAGATCAGTAAAGGACCGTAGTTAATTTCATTCACTACCTGTAAAGTTTCTTAAGAAATTTTTCATAAATAGATCATACAAATAATGTATATATATATATACATAAGAATGTATATATCTTCATTGTTTTTGAAGAAATTTGATCATTTCCATATTTTTGTTAGTTGAAGGTTATTAACATTTAAAATTCTTTTATTTTAATAACAAGTTTTAACAAAGAAAAGCATATTTAGAATACAAAGTATTATGTCTTAAATTTAGGTTATTAATTAATTGTTATTACGACCAATTTTCAATATGTTTTTTTATTACTGGGCTTAGATCATAAATTTAACGATGTTTATATATAGGTGTTTTTTTAAAAAAAATTTTACTTATAATCATCGTTTATAAATTAAAATAAAAGAAAATAAAATATTTAATAAATTAAATAAAATATTTAATATATTACATAAAATATTTAATTGTATTTTAATTTTTTATAAGAATTTTATGTAAAAATTTATATTTTTTTTAACTAAGATACAATTAAATATTTAACACAAATTTATAAGTGTAATTTTAATAATAATAAATATTATAATAATAAATACATTTATAATAAAATAATAAAAAACATATTAAATTTATATTATAATTCTACATATTCCACCTGCTTACAATAAATTTGCAAGGCAAAAATGCTCTTGTATGACGTATGAATCGTTAGGGGTGACAGACTATCATACACAACGCGTATGCGAGAGCTGTTCACCAAAATTTTGGTGAGCACGCCAACACGTTGGTAAAGGTGGCAGACTATCATACCTGTGTGTCATACGACGTTTTTCTCTCTTGTATGACATACCAGTATGATAGTCTGCACCCTGCTTGATTCATACGTCATACAAGAGCATTTTTGCCTGCAAATTTATTGTGAGCAGGTGGTATATGTAAAATTTTAATATGAATTTAATATGTTTTTTTATTATTTTATTATTATTGTATTTATTATTATTATATTTATTATTATTAAAATTACACTTATAAATTTGTGTTAAATATTTAATTGTATTTTAGTTAAAAAAAATATAAATTTTTACATAAAATTCTTATAAAAAATTAAAATACAATTAAATATTTTATGTAATATATTAAATATTTTATTTAATTTATTAAATATTTTATTTTCTTTTATTTTAATTTATAAACGATGATTATAAGTAAAATTTTTTTTAAAAAAACATCTAAATATAAACATAATTAAATTTATGATCTAAGCCCAGTAATAAAAAAACATATTGAAAATTGGTCGTAATAACAATTAATTAATAACCCAAATTTAAGATATAATACTTTGTATTCTAAATATGCTTTTCTTTGTTAAAACTTGTTATTAAAATAAAAGAATTTTAAATGTTAATAACCTTTAACTAACAAAAATATGGAAATGATCAAATTTCTTGAAAAACAATGAAGATATATACATTCTTATGTATATATATATATACATTATTTGTATGATCTATTTATGAAAAATTTCTTAAGAAACTTTACAGGTAGTGAATGAAATTAACTACGGTTCTTTACTGATCTTTTCATTTTAACTACTGTGCTTAATGACCAATAAACCTAAAAAAAATATGAATATGGATGCAGATAAAGCCTTTTTAGATGCTTTCATCGAATGTTAATAAAAGTAATCGCTGTTTGTGGGATGTCCAAAGCTGTGAATATGAAGATCGCAAAAAAAAAACGCGGCATATATAAAATATACAACATTATAATCAATAAGCAAAGCACAACCTATACGTTAACTATCAATTTTTTCAATTTTAAAATTTTATTTTAAACACACAAATTTTCACAGCATTACCCGCAAAAGCACTCTTCAAAAATTTTGCTTACTCTTGTGTGTCATACCTGTTCAAATTCGGTCGCTAGAAGAAATTTGAGCAAGAGAGAGCGCAACTCGTATGACACACCAGTATGATAGTCTGCACCCCACTTTACGCTCGAAGTGGGCGGAGTTACCGTTCTTTGTAAGTTATTCTTTGCTGTCAAGTTTTATTGACAACTGTTTGATTTTGTATCTATTTTATAACTAAAGTGCGCTAAAGCTTGCCATTACACATCATACTTTTCTACAATTTTTTAAACACGCCTCCAGCGAACAATACAAACATTGCTCACTCATCAGTATTAAAGCAATCGCTGAAGTGTCAACAGTGACTGCTATACGTAATTTCATAACGAAAATAGCTGTTTTATATATGTATAATTTATAATTTTAATTTAAATATTTATATTTGTTTTTATATATTATAGTGTATTGAATATTTTAAGTTTTTTTTTTGATATGTTTTAGTAATAAATTTTCCGTAGGTACACAATGCAATTTATATATAAAATAAAAGATTCATTGTTATTTTATATTGGTAATTGGTAAAAGGTTTTCAATTTTTTAAATTTCTCAATAACATGTTTAGAAAATCAAGTCATTTTACCTAGATAGAAAATAAAAATAATATTTAATATAAAACATAATTCATTCATAGTTGAAGAACATTGTCTGTATACGATAAAACACGAACGTGTTTGAAGAAATATCACAATTTTTTGATTTTCGTCAACGCATTTCTTAAAATTTCAAATGTTACTATTACACAAACAAATTTCGCATTTCACAAAATAGTTGGAGAAAAAAATCTCATATGTGTATGTA